TTTTTTTTTTTTTGGTTTGTTTGTTTGTTTGTTTTTCCAGACAGGGTTTCTCTGTGTATCAGTCCTATCTGTCCTGGAACTAGCTCTGTAGCCAAGTCTGGCCTCGAACTCACAGAGATTCGCTGGCCTCTGCCTCCAGAGTGCTGGGATTAAAGGCGTGGGCCACCACCGCAGGGGCGAATCCCACCTCTTGTAACTCACGAGGTGGTACCAGAGAACCAACTCCTGCAAGCTGTTCTTTTACCTCTACCTAAGAGCAGCCTTGATAAATACACTACCACACACATAGATACACACAAAATAATAAATGAAATACTTAAAGTTGCCAGGCACAATGGCATGTATCTTTAATCCAGCACTCAAGAGACATAGGCAGGAAGAGATCCACTTGCATTTGAGACCAGCCTGATCTACATTGTGAGTTCCAAGAACAACCAAGTACACGTAGTGAGATCCTTTTATTGTTTTCTTTTTGACAGCCAAATCTTTATTAAGGGAATGGGTCTCTAGGGGTGGTGGACCTGGGGTCCTCACTGCACAGCTTGTTCATGGTCACTGCCTCCAGAATTCTGTGAATTCATCACATATGGACACTCTGGAGGACCTGAGAAGGGCTCAATGCGCAGGGCTTCGAAGGCATTACCCTCTCGGAAGGCCAGGCCCACCGTGGCTGGGGCCTGTGGCCCTGCTGTCAGGCTAGTGAAGCCACACTCGCCCAGAGTTTTTCCATCATCAAGGACCTGGTTGCCCTTGTACAGCCGCTGCTCATTCGGCGGCCGCTTAAGGATGCCCTCGATGATGCGCTTCAGCTCGAACACGGTACTCGACTCCTTGGTGTCCGTGAAGATGGTGGTCTTGTGGCGACGGATCATGAGAAACACGTCCTTCTCGGAGGCTGCTTCTGGCTCCGACATCCTGTTTTTAAAATATTCAATTAAATAAAACTACAGCCTGAGTTGGATTTAAGAAAGGTTGTTTTGTTTTAAAACATGCATTCATTAGTTAGAGGGAGCAGGTACTTGAGCTATAGTGAGCATGTGGAAGTGAGAAGAAAACTTGGAATTCAATCCTTCCACACACTGAGCTTTTGTTGTTGGTTTTTTCAAGACAGGGTTTCTCTGTTTAACTGTCCTGGATGACCTGGAACTCCCTTTGTAAATATAATGGTCTGTCCTGTCCCTCCAAGAGACAAGCCCCGCCCTCCCAAGTCCACAGAGGCAGGAGGATCTCCCTTCTTCCAGCCTGCAAGCTCTCCCTTTCCTCCCTCCCTAAGAGGTAGTTTATTCTTTCCTCTCCCCCTACCTCCTCTCTCTGTTTCTTTCTCTCTGTCTCTTTCTCCTCATTCCCCTTCTCCCTCCCTCTCTCCTGTCTCCCTCCCTCTCTCCTGTCCCCCTCCCTCCTGTCCCCTTCCGTTCCATAACCCACTAAACAAATATCCAGCCTCACTCTTGCATGGCATGCATATCTGCCTCTGTCTCTCACCCGCCATGGCTCCTCATGGGACCTGCTGACCCACCAAAGTCTCTCATCTGCTGTGTGGCTCCCTGCCTGGAACCCACTGCTGACCCTCAGAGAACTGTGAGGCCTTTTTATGTTTACAATTACAATAGACCAGGTTGATCTTGAACTCACAGAAATCTGCCCGCCTCTGCCTCTAGACATGTGCCACCATGCCCAGCTGCCACTATTGAGTTTTTAAATCTGAAAATGATTTATTTTAAAATGACCAAATATACTATTTGAAATGTGTGTGACTAAAGTGTTTTCTGTCTCTGGATTACTCATCTTGGTCTTATTTATGGAATATCACCTTTTAAAAGTGTGCATTTATTTTTAATTCATGAGTAATTTGCCTACATGTATGTGTGGGCAACACATGAGTGCCTGGTGCCATCAGAGGCCAGAAGAAGCATCGTATCCCATGGAACTAGAAGCAGATGGTTGTGAACTGTCATGCATGTTCGGGGAACTGACCCAGGGCTATAAGAGCAGTCAGTGCTCTTAACCACTGAACCATAACTCCAGCCCAGGAATATTACCTTTCAATAATTATAATACCCCTCCAAATTTAAGTTCTTAGAGGAAAAGACCACTAAAATAACTTACATTTACCAAAAGATATGATAGAAAAACAAGCATTTTGGCCAGGCAGTGGTGACTCATGCCTTTAATCCCACCACTCAGGAGGCAGACGTCAGCCAAGTCTACAAGAACAAGTTCCAGGACAGCTAGGATTGTTACACAGAGAAACCCTGTCCCAAAAAACAAACAAAAAACAACCATGGATTTGGGACCTGGTCATGGCCCAGTTAGTAGTGTTTACATAGCATTCACAAAGTCCTAGGCTCAACTCTTAACACCCTCAGATGTGGTGGCACACACACCTGTAATCCCAGAACCCAGGAAGTGGAGGCAGGAGGATCAAAAATTCAAGGAATCCTTGCTTACATAGTGAATTTTATGGCATCCTGGGTTACATGGGATTTTATTTAAGAAAAAAGGGCCAGGCGGTGGTGGTGCACGGATTTAATCCCAGCACTCAGGAGGCAGAGGCATTCGGATCTCTGTGAATCTGATGCCTGCCCGGGCAACAAAGCGAGTTCTAGGACAGCTAGGGCTGTCACACAGAGAAACACTGTCTCAAAAACCAAAAATAAAAACAAAACAGTTTAAGAGAAAAAGAAAGGTTTTGGGTTGTCTCTGTTTGTTTTTGAAGATGACTCAATTTCAGAGAAACTGAGAAGCCTGCTACAACCATACAGGCTGGGCTGCTAAGGATGAGGAGGTGTAGAGAATCTGGAGCAAGACTCAATAAGCTGTAGCACAATTAACAAAAACCCAGACACAGATATTGGGGTTCACATGAAGACCAGAAAAGAAAAGCAGCCAGCCACTGCCTCTTACCTTTACCACAGGCCGAGAATGGCGATCCTGCCTCCAGGAATCCTCAGAATGAGACTGGCTGAGAGCTGTCTCCTCCTGTCTTATAGTCCTCTTTAGGGCTGGGATTAAAGGCGTGCTCCACTACCACCTGGTTTCTATGGAAAACTAGTGTGGCTAATTGGAATAAAGGTGTGTGTTGTGACTACCTGGTCTGTGAGGCTGACCAGGGTGGTTGTTTACTCTCTGATCTTGAGACAAGCTTGATTTACTAAAATACAAATGAAATATCACTACAACAGGCGGTCTGACAGTGTGACTGCCTAGATCTAGTGCCCACCAGGGTACCACACGCTCCTCTGAGATCTCATCAATACTGCCTCAGACCAGCATCCGAACCTATTTTACTAACCACAATGGGGGAAATCATTGAATTCCAAGTTCACCTGAACTTAGAGTCAAACATGTATCTATAAAGGTCAGAAATCAGAGGCAGAGGTCACAGGAAGCAGTTAGGTGAGAAGGAAATGGACAGCAGAATCGATCTCATGTGGGTGAAGACACGTAGGAAACACACCAGGGAGACCAAGCTATTTTATTTTAAATTAGCTGAGGAGCAGGAATGGCTGGACAGGGAGATGCCTCGGGAAAGAGTGCACACACCAGAGGGGATGAGAAGACTGCCTCGGATGGACGCTTCATCTAGCTCATCCTTCTCACAAGTCCTTACAGCTCACTTCTCAAGACCCTGGGGCCCTGAAGGAACCGATCCTCTGGCCCAAGGCTGTGGGCATGGGACTGAGAGCTGCTGGGTTCCAGGCTAGAAAGGGTGTTCTGAAGTTCTAAGAGGAAGTCAAATGTCAAACCAACCATTAGCGAGACTGTGGTGTGCATAAAACCAGGCCCTGGTCCTTCCTGGAAATGACCCACAGGCCTTGTTTGTATGTGCCCATTCACAGGTGCTTCTCACTGAGTATCTGTTTCTGTCCCCCAACTGCAATGTGTGATGTAATGGAGAATGTAGTGGTACCTGTCCTGGAACTAGCTCTTGTAGACCAGGCTCTCCTTGAACTCACAGAGATTCACCTGCCTCTGACTCCCTCCCGAATGCTGGAATTAAAAGAGTGTATTACCACTGCCTGGGCCTTTCAATCATTTTTAAGATATTATTACTGTGTATATATGAATGTACCTATGGGGCTCAGAGGGCAGTTTCATGGATTTGCCTCTCGCTCCTTTACATGGGTCCCAGAGGTCAAACTCAGGTTGGTATGCTGCCGTGGCACACAGTGCCTTTACCCCACCTCACAGTCCTGTCCTCCTCTTGACCACCTACTCATGGAAACATCCTAAAGAATAACCAAGGGCTCCCTTGATCCCTGACCTTGCATGACTCTGCCCCTGAATTTTCTAGAGACAGCCGGGAAACACAAAGTTTTAAGAACAAGGTAGGCAAGCTGGTAGTGGTTGTGTACGCCCAGCCCTCGGGAGGCAAAGGCTGGAGTTTTTTTGAGTTTGAGGTCAACCTGATCTACACAGTTCGAGAACAGCCAGTTATATTAAGAAAAATCCTTTCCCAAAATCAAAAAATTAAATAGATCAGGCTAGGCTTGGTTGCACGTGCCTTTAATTTCCGAATTCAGGGAGCAGAGACAGGTACTATCTCAATGAGTTCAAGGCCAGCCTACACAGGGAGTTCTAAGCCAGCAAGAAGTGTAGAGAGACCTTGTCTCAAAAACAAAAAGATATAGAGCATGAAGTTGGTGAGGTGACTCGGTGAGGGAAGGTGTTTGCAGCCAAGACTGACAACCTCAGTTCATCCCCAGGGACCCACATGGTAGAAAGAGAGACCAGACTCCATAAGTGAGTGCAGAACACAGAAATTTAATTAATTAATTAATTAATGTTTGTTTGTTTGTTTGTTTTTAGAGACAAGGTTTCTCTGTAGCTTTGGGTCCTGTCCTGGAACTAGCTCATGTAGACCAGCCTTGCCTCGAACTCACAGAGATCCACCTGCCTCTGCCTCCTGAGTGCTGGGATCAAAGGCGTACACCACCGCCCGGCCCTGCCTACTATGTTCTTAAAACTGTGTTTCCTGGCTATCTCTGGAAAATCCAAAGGCCAAGTAATCAAGGTCAGGGCTCAAGGGAGCCCTTCCTTATTCCTTAGAATCTTTCTGAGTAGGTGGTCAAGATGAGGACAAGACAGTGAGGTGGGGTAAAGGCACTGTGTACCACACCAGCATACCAACCTGAGTTTGACCTCTGGGACCCATGTAAAGGAGAGAGAGGCAAATTCATGAAACTGCCCTCTGAGCCCCACAGGTGCATTCATATATACACAGTAATAATTTCTCTCAACTTGACAGTAAACTATTGTCACCTGGGAGAGGAAACCCCAACTGTGGAATTGCCTAAATCAGATGGGCCTTGCCGGGCGGTGGTGGCGTATGCATGCGAATCTCTGTGAGTTCGAGGCCAGCCTGGTCTAAAAGAGCTAGCTCCAGGACAGGATCTAAAGCTATGGAGAAACTCTGTCTCGAAAAACCAAAAAACAAAAAAAGGTTGGCCTGTGGAGATTTTGTGGGATTTTTTTT